ATGTGCCTGACTGGGAATCAAACCAGGGACTTTTCACTTTGTAGGACAACACTCAGCCAACTGAGCCACACAGTCAGGGCTAGTCAGTAATATTTTAATAAGTAAATATGGTGTCAGGTGGGTACAATACTTATTGGAGGGGATCACTTTGTAAGTTATATAAATGTCTAAGCACTATGCTGTATACCTGAAACTAATATAATATGAAATGTCAACTGTAATTGACATTTTCTAATTTTCTAATTGAAAAAATTTGTAAAAACTTAAAAGACAGAAATTGGCAGGGTGGATAGAAAATGTTAAAAAAAAATGCCCAAGTTGTATGCTGTCTGCAAGAAACTCACTTCAAATATGTATTTCCAGGGAATTATTCTGAGTGAAAAGGCCAATTTTAAAAGGTCACATACTATATGACTTCACTTATATAACTTTTTAAAAATAATATAGAGATGTAAAACATATGTGATTGCCAGAAGTTAGGGATGGTAGAAGAGTAAATTGGATGTGACTGTGAAGGAGTAGCACAAAGTAGAGTTTTGTAGTGATAGAATAGTTTTATATCTTGATTATGGTGGTGTTTACATGAATCTACACATGATGAAATGATACAGAATTTAATACATATATTGTACCAATGTCAATTTCAAGGTTTTGCTATTGCAGCATAATTACATAAGATGTAACCATGGGGGAAAACTGGGTGATGGGTGCATGGAATGTCTCTGGATTTTCTTGACAATTTCCTGTGAAACTACAATTATTTCAAATTTTAAAAGGTAAAAATCAAAAAGACTATTTTTTAAAAATCTATACTAAGAAACCTAATGCTAATATCATACTTAATGCTGAGAAACAGGCAGCTTTCCCACTAAGATCAAGTATATGCAAGGATATCCCCTCTTACCACTCCTTTCCAACATCATAATGGAAGTTCTAGCTAATACAATGCAAGAAAAGGGGATAATGGGTATATAAATTGGGAAGGAAGAAACAAAACTACCTTTGTAGATAACATGATCATCTATGTAGAAAATCTAAAAGTATCAACCAAAAAAACTCCAGGAAAAGTCAATCACTTTCCTGTATACCAGCAATAACCAAGTAGAATTTGAAATTAAAAACAAATACAACTTATGCTAACATTCCCAAGGATGAAATATTTAGCTATAAATCTAACAATATCTACAAAATCTATATGAGTAAAACTACAAAACTCTGATGAGCAATATAAAAAAAACTAAATAAATTGAGAGATATTCCATGTTCATGCATAGGGAGATTCAGTATTGTCAGGATATCAGCTCTTCTCAACTTGATCTATAGATTCAATGTAATCTCAATAAAAATCCCAGCAAGTTATTTTGTGGATATCAACAAACTGATTTTAAAGTTTATATGGAGAGGCAAAAGACCCCAAATAACTGACACAATATTGGGGGAGATCAACAAAATTGAAGGACAGTCACTACCCGACTTCATGACTTACTATAAAGCTACAATATTAAAGACAGTGTGTTATTGGTTTAAAAACAGACAAATAGATCAATGATACAGATTAGAGACCCCAGAGATGGACCCACATCTATATAGCCAAGTGAACTTTGACAAAGAAGCAAAAGCAATACAGTGGAGCAAAGATTTTTTTTTTCCAAACAAATGGTGCTGGAACAACTGGACATCTCCATGCAAAAAAAAAAAAAAAAAAACAATGAATCTAGACACAGACTTTATACTGTTCTCAGCTGAGGACCTAACCCTCAACCCAAGCATATGCCCTGACTGGGAATCGAACAAGCAACCCTTTGAGCCACACCAGCCAGGGCTATATGTTTAGTTTTATAAGAAGCTGCCAAACTGTTATCCAAAGTAGGTATACTATTTCAGATTTTCATCAGCATTGTATGAGATTTCCAGTTCCTCTACATCCTCATTAATACTAGGTATTGTCATTTTTGGTTCACAGGCCGATACTCAATCCACTGAGCCACACCAGCCAGAGTCCGGTATTGTCAATTTTAAAAAGCTTTTTTGGTGGATTGCAGAGGGTATCCCATTGTAATTTTAATATATATTTCTTGAATTATTAATGATATTGAGCATCTTTTCATATGCTTAATTACCATTCATACTGTGATTGTGTGTGTGTGTGTGTGTAAATGTCTGTTCAAATCTTTTGCCCATGTTTTAAATTGGATTGTTTTCTTCTTATTGAGTTGAGAGAGTCATCCCACACTTGGATTCTGAATACCAGTCTTTCATCAGATATGTGTGTTGTAAATATTTTCCCCAGTCTGTGGCTTGCCTTTTCATTTTCATAACAGTATTTTTCGAAGAGCAGAGGTTTCAAATTATGAAGTCTAATGTATCAAGTTTTTTCTTTCATGAATCTCACTTCTGTAAATATCTATGAATTTTTTGACTAACTAAAAGTTAGAAAGATTTGCTCCTACACCTTCCCCTAGAAGTCTTTAGTTTTAAGTTTTACATTTAAGTCTATGATCCATTTGCATTAATTTTTGTATATGATGTGACTATTAGTATTTACAAAGCTCTCTGACACAACCTCTGATCTCAATAATGAAATCTTTGAGGAAGGCACATCAGAAATCTTAATTCCCATTTTACAGATGATAATACTGAGGATTAGAGAAGGGCTCAAGGTCCCACAGATGATGAGGTGAAACTGCAAGGTAAGAGGTCAAATTGTAATGAGAGTTTAGGTCTCCTTGCTGTCCCAGGCCAGTACTTGAAGAGCTAGGCAGCTAGAGCTTAAGATGGTACCTCAGCAAAGCAGATTTTCCCAGTGGGCATCTGAAAAACCTATTAGGCACTGAAGTAAGAGACAAAGGCAGTGGGCTAGCCCTGATCTCACTCAGACTGCCCTTCTCTGGCCCACTTGGGCCTCTATAATTGAAGAGAGCCAGAAGCTGTCCTGGTGCTCTGCTCAGATGATACTCAATGATGCTTTTTGATAATGTTAATGAAGACTTGGAATATGTTCAGAGGAGAGCTCTGAAAGTAATAACAGAGTTAGAAATTAAAGCTAAGAAGAAAAGGTAAAGGAACTAAGATTATTTAACCTAGAAAAGAGAGGCCCAAGATGAAACTTGATAACAGCCTTCAAACAAACAAGCAAAAACCCTTGGGCTTTCTTTCTGAGGGCTGAGCAAGGAGAAATGGGCTGGAAGAATGTAACTAAGAGGGCAAAATTCTTTCTCCCTGGCGAGCATTGTTACAGACACTTAAGATCCTTTTTAAACAGAATAAACTCTTCTTATTCAAGTTTGGAGCCAGGGATTTGCCCAACATGAACTCTGATTAAAAACTTCGGCATGATGGTTACATGACCCTCTTGAAGAGTGTCCTTAAAAATCTTTGGGTGGCTCCTGAACCTGTACTGTGTTTGTGGCCTTTCCTGCTCCTTAGTCTTAGCATCTTAAGGTAAGATGAGCCTTATCTTAGCTCTTGAAGGCTTAATGCCCATGCTTCTTGGCCCTGAAGCCAAGTATCTGAGTGCCTAAGGCTATAGATCTGGTTTAGCATCCCTGGAAGGGCCTAAAATGTGGACTAGTTCAAATATGACCCCAATGCTTGAATCCCCTGTTTTATATCTAGTCTCTGTTCACACACCTCTAATGAGTGGAAACTTTATTCATCCCAATAGAAGACATCAAATAATATAATTAATTGAACTAGGAATAAGGACAGTTGGGTTTGAGTCCCAGCTCTGCCACTGACTTGCTGCATGATCTTTGATAAGCTCTTTCACATTTCTGGGCCTGCTTCTTTATCAGTAAAATGGTAGTAGAGGGATATCTTTGTTTTAGTTTCTGTTGGTTTAACTGCTATAACAAATGGCCCTCAAAAATTGAGTGGATAAAAGAGCTGTGATACCTTTATACAGTGGAATACTACTCAGCTGTAAAAGAAGGAAAATTGGCAGCATGGATGGACCCAGAGAGTATTATACTAAGTGAACTAAAGCATTCAGAGAAAGACAAATACCATATGATTTCACCTACAAGTGGAATCTAATGAACAAAATAAGCCAACAAAATAGAAACAGACTCATAGATACAGAGAACAGGCTGGCAGCTGTGAGAGAGGTGGAAGGGTTGGGGCTCTGGGTGAAAAAGGTGAAGGGATTAAACAAAGAAAAAAACTCATAGATACAGACAGCAGTATGGTGATTACCAGAGGGAAAGGGGGTTAGGGGAAATTGAAGAGGGTAAAGGCGTGGGGTAAATGGTGATGAAAGGCGGCTTTGGGTGACGAACATACAATACAATATACAAATGATGCATTACTGAATTGTACACCTGAAACCTATATAATTTTATTAACCAATATCACCCCAGTAAATTAAATTACAATTTTTAAAAAGTGTATGCAATAATTAAAAACATTTAGTGGCTTAAAGGACAAAAAATTTCTCTATTTCTTATGTATCATTCAGGACAGGGATTCCATATTGGAAAGGGAAGGGGAACTTTGCTCAATATAGTTATTCTGGGACCCAGATAGAACTAATGGCAGTTCTGCAAGTCTTACTACATGGCTTCCAAGGTCGCTCTGCATTTGTAGCCCACCAGAAAGCAGAAACCCAACAGGACATTTTTATGGTCCAGGCCTGGAAGTAGTGTTTATCACTTAACTACATTGTATTGGTTAAAATTCTGTCACGTTGTCTTACTAAAGAGCCAAAGAGGCTGAGAAATGTACTGCTGTGTGGTAACTAGTTAGGCTTCATTATTGGATTGATCTTTAAAAAGGCCCCTATCTCAGTTTCAAAGTTCTGAATGTGTTTATAAACTAGACTCTTGGTTCTCACATTGCCCTGCTACAAGTACTTTGAAAATTGCCCAAGCTCTCTGGCCACTAGGGAATAGCTGACTGGCAGTGTAGGCCAATGCAATGCCCCTGTGAAAGGCCAGAGAAGAATTGAGATACCAGTCATACCACACTAAGCTAAGGTATCTTTGTGCTTGTTTTCTTTGCAGCATGGGTAGGAGCCCTCTCAATGGGCATGATCTTCTTCTGTTCTCCCATTGTGAGTATATTTACTGATCGTTTGGGCTGCCGAATCACAGCAACTGCAGGGGCTGCTGTCGCTTTCATCGGCCTCCATACCAGCTCCTTCACCAGGTAAGGCTAGGAGTTGGTGGATGCCTAAGACTGAGTGAGAGTTGGCCTCTTTCTGGAATTCAATTAGGGACAATCTTCCCCTTGCAGAATCTTCTGTGGCTCTTTCCATGCAGAATCCTCCTTGTCCAATGGGACTCATTTAGGTACCAGTGCCCATTGGTAGGGAATATCCCCAAAGAGGACGCAAGAGTTCCAAAGTGGTAGGAGTCTAAGTTTGGGAATTCATATAGCTGGGCCCATGTCCAGTTTTGGCCACTGAATGGCTGTGGAACAATTGATGAGTACCATTCCCGTCTCTGGGCCTCAATTTCTATATCTGTAATATGAGGGGATTAGACTAGATGGTCTTTTCGGGTCTCTTCCAGCTCTGCCATTTTATTCCCCTTCAATGTGCCGCACATCTCATGACCTCATCTGCCTTCTCGAGAATGAACTTTTAGAGCAAGCTCATGTGGACACGTACCATTACAGCACTCCTGAGGGAATCTTATGCTAAAAATGAGGTCAGCTGAGCCCCAGGCTATTTAGCATTTCTGGTCCCTTTCAAGATGTTTCTGGCTGCCAATGCATGGATGGTTTGAAATGGATAAAAATTCATGTCTTGGTCATGAGAAGGGATATTTAGCACCATCCCCACTGAGGTACAAACCTAGTGCCAAGCTACCCAGCCAGGCCTAAGCTAAAGTCAAACTCTGGTCCTGTTGGTTCCACTGGAAGAACTTAGTAGTGCCAGGCAAGGAGCAAGCTACAGGCTCATTTTCTGTTTTCTTTCTGCCAGCCCTGCAGAAGCATATCTAGTTGAGGGGAGAAGTGAAAATCCTCCATCAGAAACTGAGAAATAGGGGATTCCATCAACTTTCTGCCAAAGATGCTTTGAAAATTATGGTACCTCCTACTTCCAATCTGCCTGGGCTGGTGTAGGAAAATGCTGGCCTAGAAATACAGTTAATTTGTCAGAGATTTGCTTTCTGAGCCTTACTCCCCAGAGTAGGACCGTGGTTATATTCTCTAGGTCTAACATTCCACTCACATCAGAGAATGATAATAGTGTTCTGCCTCAATTGGGCCCTTTGAGGATGAGCCAAATTTCTTTATGACTTGAGCATTTCTGGCTGCCCAGCCTACCCTCCAGCAGAGCTTGGATTTGTCCTGAAATGTTTTCTTGACTCAGTCCCACCTAATTCAGACAGAGGAGGGGAAAACCATGTCCTACCTGGAACCTGCTTAGTCCTCCCAGGGAAGCAGTGCCAAACCCTTTCAGAACCTCTCCAGTGGTTGGCCTCATTCATCCTCAGCAAGCTGGTGCTGGCTCCTTGTGGGAAGGAGCTAGGCCTCAGGAGCAGCTCCAGGCTCAGCACTACAGAGCATAGGCCTGTTTTTTAAGGACAAGAATAGCAAAGTGTAAACAAATTAGCAACATACGGATCCCATTTCCCTTGCAATCCACATGGGCTGTTACAGAAAGGGAAGGAGCTCAGGCATGTTTTCTTCTGGCACTCTTCTTTAGGCACATTAGAGTAGGCGTTCTGTTCTCCAGGCCCCTAAGCTCCTCCCTCAACCCCATTGCCTTTTCTGTAAGAACATCTTCAAAGCCAAGAAATTTTCTGGGTGGCTTCACACCCGGTGGAAAAATGGTACTTCTTGTGGCTAGGGCTCCAAGTCATCCTTCCTGTTGTTTGAATCAGGGCTCTGGATGCCTTTGGATGGCATGAGGTGGAACAGAATGCAGGCAGGGTTTAGGAGGACTTGGCAAGCCTGTTTAGGGGTCTCTTGCCTTGGGGTGCAGCTAGAAATAGATCTTCCACATAGCACCCTGGATAGAACCCCATGCTTTGCCCTCACTGGCCCTCACTCTGCAGGTATAACTCCTGTTCCTTAGACAAGAGATCCTTGGCCCATGCCATACCACTGAGTCCCTAGAATCTCATGGGAGCAGACCCCAAGGAATCTGACAGAAGAGGAACAGTTGGTTTAGTTATGTGTTCCAAATGGAGGCAGCCCTTTTGAAACCAAAGCCCTTGCTCATATGCAGTGAATACAAGCAGATGGAAAGCAATGGTAATGATTGCTGTGGTTGGAATCATGCATGCAATCACCATATCATCTCTGCAGCATAGGCCCAGTCTTTTTAGTATGAGGACTGGCTCTGTCTATGGGGAAGAACTACCTGACCATGGAGGCTATTAGATAATTAAGTGGTCAGATAAAAACTATTGCAAAATATGTAGAGGCTTCAAAAAGAAAATAAAATTCCTCACTAGGTTGTGCCAATATTTTTGGGATGCAGATGGCTGGCCAAGCTAACCTTCACATGGCCTTTTTCCTGCTGACTACTTTGCCTTCTGTTACAGAGGCTTATGGCCCCTGCAGGCCGTAATGTTTTAAGCCAGAATGTGTGTTACTTTGTGAGACCCATAACTTTTTTGAGGCTCCATTTCCCATCAAGTAGCTAGGTTATGCTGTGATATCCAGACTTTGGGTAGGTTGAGGATGGGCCATCTCTCAGGAGACCACCAGACAGTCTCTGAAGTATTAAGAGCTCTGAACATGGAGAAAGATACTGAAGAGCCCTACAGAGGGTCTTAACCTCCCAGGATCTTGACTCCTTGCAGGCCTTTGTTACTTGGGATAAAGCTTTGGCTACCAGCCAATCCATGCTGTCTAGGTGAGCGGTAAGTTCTCTCTAAAGCACCGACTTACTCGTAGCCCCTCATCCAGCCTCTGCATAGGCAGGGTCTGGCTTTGTTTTGAACAATCGTCTCTGGGTGCTATGACTCAAAATAGAGTCACACAGACCTGGAGTCAAGTCCAAACTTTGCTGATACACAGCTATGCTACCTTGGGTAAATTACTTCTCTGAGCCTGTCTTCCCATCTGCAAAATGGGGATCAGAAGGTCCTACTCCTTGTCTGTTCTGAGGGTCAGTGGTAAGTGGGGCTGTGGGTTAATGGTGGGGGTGATGCAGGTTTCTGGAGGGTGAAGGGAAAAGGGCAGGTGAATTTTCTGGCCAGGCTGCTGAGGATAGCTCTTGATGTTTTTCCCACAGCTCATTGAGCCTGCGTTACTTCACCTATGGGATTCTCTTTGGTTGTGGCTGTTCCTTCGCCTTTCAGCCATCTCTCGTCATACTGGGCCACTACTTCCAACGCCGCCTGGGTCTGGCCAATGGTGTAGTGTCTGCTGGGAGTAGCATCTTCTCCATATCCTTCCCCCTTCTCATCAAAACACTGGGGGCTAAGATAAAGCTCGCCCAAACCTTCCAGGTGCTGAGTACCTTCATGTTTATTCTTACGCTGCTTTCACTCACCTACCGGCCCCTCCTGCCCAGCTCCCAGGACACCCCAAGCAAGAGAGGTGTCCATACCGTGTGCCAACGCTTTCTGGCTCAACTCAGGAAGTATTTCAACATGCGAGTGTTTCGCCAACGTACCTACCGCATCTGGGCCTTTGGGATTGCTGCTGCTGCCCTTGGCTACTTCGTTCCCTATGTACACCTGGTGAGGAACATCAGGATGGGCTCACCCAACCTGGTCCCAAGAATCTGCCCTTCACCTGCCTGAAGTGTGAGAGGGTAGGGGTGGAGGATATTTAAAGGACAAAACTGAGACCTTTGGAAAAACAAACAGTAGTTGGAGAGACACAGTGGGAAAGAGCACAGGTTGAGGGAAGACCTCTGTGGGAAATAAGGAGAGTTCGTTAGGGAAAAGCCCATGCCTCTGGTTTCTTCCACTGATAAGTCTAGATAGGTAAGATTTTCAGGAGAAGATAAGCATCACTGGGGTGCAGGAGACTGACCCAGATGACCCAAGGATAAGGTTGTCTAAAAGTGTGTTCTATGGAATGCTGGTCTTTGTGGTCAAATGATTTTGTTTAAGCAATACCATATATTAGATCTCTTTAGCTTCATATTGTGTAGCAGTCTTTTAAAGGTACCAAAAAGTCCTGCAGTAAACAAATCCTTCAGTTTTGTTTAGCCAGCATCTACCCAACTTGTATGGCCAAAGAACTGTCATTTGTAGTCCTGTTATCTTCCATAGACCTCATGTTTCTTAAAACACACTTTTAGAAGTATACCTGAAAGTTGGTGGATCTGTCTCCCCTGGTGACCTGCTGTTTCCCCAGTCTGTCAGTTCTGGGTCAGGGAATTGGGAGATTGTAGGAGAACCACTGGATTTTCTCAGTTGTTAAGGCTGTATTCTGTCCTGCCAGGGTTTGTTTGGAAGGGGTCTGGAGACACCCACTCCCCTCAGCTGTGTTCAATAGCCCAGAATGTAGAGAACCAGGGAATATGCAGCTTTGTAAGCACTTAGAAGCAGCCAGGGAGTTTATCCCAGAGATAGGACTACAAGGAAAGTAGTTCTTATCGTGGTCCAGACAAGTAAGCAGTAGAGGGTTCCAGATATGCCAACAGTTAATCAGTCAGCTCCTCTTCTTTTTCCTGTCCTGGGGGGGTCTGATGCTATGCTTTTCAGATGAAGTATGTGGAAGAGGAGTTCTTGGAAATCAAGCAGACCTGGGTGCTCTTGGTGTGTATTGGGGCTACCTCAGGCCTCGGGCGCCTTGTGTCAGGCCGTGTCAGTGACTCCATTCCTGGACTTAAGAAGATCTACTTGCAGGTGAGTGTGGCCACCCCGTCCACTGTGGGGAGGGATACTGCCACAGGTGCTAGTTTATCCCCACTTTTTAATATAGAATGGTAGATTGTGTCATTGCTGTCCCCTGGGCATCAGCTCTGACATCAGCTTGTGCAACAAGGGAAAGTCAATAAATTCTCTGAGCCTCAGTTTGCCTTGCTTTCAAATGAAGAGTCATTCTTGTCTGTCTTTCATCAAGATGGAGTGAGGATCCAGTGAGAGCAGTATAAATGGAACCTCTAGAACATTTTCAAATAGTTTTTTAATTAATAATGGCTCTCCCATCTGAGAGAGAGAAAGTGAGGCCAGGAGTTAAATGCTGCCACCAGTGAGGGGTGATCTCATGGCTACCCTACACTCTCTTGGAGGGTCCTGGACATGTATAACACGTGGCCCAGTGTTTCTCTCCTGTAGGCCCAGGCCCAGGTTCATCATCTCTTATACTTCCAGAACTACTTGGCACCAAACATTGCCTGTTAAGTGCCATCCTCTTGGTTGACACAAAAAAGTACCAGAAAAGGCCAGACCACTCCCCTTCTCTGGGCCTCACTTTAGTCATTTGTGCAATGAGAATAATTCTCGCTTTTCCTATCCCACCTCACAGTTGAGGATTAAAACAACGATTGGCATGACCAGGCTTTGGGAAGTCAAAAAATGTTATAGCCAAGGTTTTAATCCTTCTGATAGTGATACAAGTAGCCTCATGTTGTGGGCAGTAAACACAAGAGGCCACTTTCTGTGTGAATTGGACTCTGGTCTGGCTTGAATATAGACTATTGCTTAAGCTGTCTATCTTTGCCTACCTGATAGCAATATTGCCTTTCTGACCTGGCTCATGCTTATTGCTCCTGCAGTTGAGTTTACTAGAAGATGCCCAAGTGTGAAACCCTGTGAAGGGGTAATGGTGGTCCTAGAAAACATGTGATCACAAATAATCCATCAGGAAATGCTTGAGTTCTGACTCCCCTAAGCAAGCCCTAAAATTATTTGCCTCACTATAGGCAAGGGGGCCTAACTATACACACAGTAGAGATTTCTCTGTCTTCTGACAACCCCAAGGGTTTTCTGAAATAACCTCAGATGTTTTAGACAAAGTATTCTGTTGTATTTAACTCTGTGTTAGGTTTGCAAGAACTGGTCAACCTGCTTTGTCAGATCTAGGGATGCCCTTATGATTCATCTAGTCCAGTCTCTCATTGTACTGATGGAGAAACTTAGGGGAAGACATACAGCCAGTTGTGGCAGAGCTGAACTCTTATGTAATGCTCTTCTCATATTCTACTTTACCTTAAGTGATGGAAGGCAGAACCAAATCCCAGAGATAATAAGAGACTTGACCAAGGTCAAACTGAAAGCCTATAATTGAGATAAACAAATTATGAAATTTTGAATTCCTGTGCAAATATCAGAAAGTGCCTTATCTGGGTGGATTTTTACATTGGAGTATGTGTGGCTTTCCCAGCCTCTTCTGCATGCCACCCCTGTGTGTCTTTCCTGTCAGTATCAGCAGCTCCAAGATATAAAAGGATACTGAAAATCTGGGCAAGCTAGCACTAGGCCAGGGCTTTATCCTGAGAAGAGGCAGTAGTTTTTGCTTAGCCATAAAGCTCATTTCTCACCACAGTCCCTAGGAGAGAGGTAGGGCCCAAGCAGCTTTTGCTTTCTATTGAGCAGAGGGCGTTCCAATGGAAGCAGAGGCATTAGCTAGTCATCAGAACTGGACTTAGGGCCCAGTGCTTCTGCTGGCCACTCACCCTACCCACCCACCACTCTCTCCCCCTTTCCACTCTTATTTGACCCAGTTTTAGCACTTAGAATAATATAAAACAATCTTAGAATGTTGTAGCTAAAACAATCAACTTGGAGTCCAATTCCCTCATTTCACAAATGAGGAACTGAGGCCCAGAGAGCAAAAGTGACTTGTCTAAACTCATCCTGCTGGTGTCTCAGGCTGAGAGCACAAGACAATGGATGAACTTCTTTCTCTTGAGCCATCACAGAAATTTGCCCCCCCCTTCTCTCTGGGTACGGGACTGAGAGAGGAAAGGAGTGTGCATATAGCTTCAGGTGTTCTGAAGAGCCATTCACTAGACCCTGTAGTTTCTACTATTGGAGAAGACAGGTACATGTGTCTGGTGTCAAGCCCCTGGATAGTCTATTGGAAAGGAAATGGTGACAACCTGCAGGACAGCCTCACTTTGGGCCAATTCTTCAGGCCTGATTTTCAGTTCCAAGAGAGATTTTTAATTTCCAGACCTTGGCAGGGCCTCATAGAGGATGCTAAGAGGCAGCTAGATATGATAGGTAGTAATTAAAGCTGACTGAAATCAGTTAATGGGGTCTTTTGTGTTATATAATGGTATTAACTGCTAATTGCCATACCATTATGGTTGTTGATAGGTAGGTCTGATTTTATCTTACAGTCATGCATGAATCTCCTAGGGAAGAAGCTGGGGTATCTGGAGTCTTATTCCTAGATTCTGCCTAAATATCCCAAAACAGCCTGGGCAAAGTTCAAAGGCCCCCCAACAAAGAGATCTCCTCACATGGCATGGCCAGAACACTTATCCTATCTAAAAACCAACTGATGAACCTAACAAATCCGCTGACAGCAACAACATAGACTCACAGTTAAATAGGAGCTCTCTTAAAAACTTTGAATCCTTTAATATAGGACTTAGAAGGGGCCTCAGTAACTGTTTAGTCCAACTACTGTCTCTGCTGGCACCCTGCTGACTCATTTTATAAATGGTAGGAATGAGACTCTGAGAAAGGAGGTATGATTTGCTATGTGGTCTTAACTGGTACGCATAACATGACCGACTTCGGGCCCTTGCTCCGTTAGGTCATCTCCTTCCTGCTCTTGGGCCTGATGTCCATGATGATTCCCCTGTGCCGGGGCTTCGGGGGCCTCATCGTTGTCTGCCTCTTCCTGGGCCTGTGTGATGGCTTCTTCATCACCATCATGGCCCCCATCGCATTTGAACTGGTGGGCCCAATGCAGGCCTCACAGGCCATTGGCTACCTCCTGGGAATGATGGCCCTGCCGATGATTGCTGGGCCCCCCATTGCAGGTGAGGCTGATATTACAGGGAGGGTATGAGTGTGGGAGTCCTATCTTTCCTGGGCTGTAGCTTTCCTAAGTACCTCTACTTAAAGTTCCCTTTCCTCTTATTCTCTGTTTAAGCAGCCTTGTCAAAATGCATGAAACCCCTTACCACTCTTGGTAAAAGAAACTAAGCATAGTATATGTGCATGGATTCATTTTGGGGAATATACTTTTCATAGCTGTATATCTGTTTCAGTGGAGTTTTATTGTGGACAGCATGGCTGATTCCAAGAGGGCAGAGGGAGAAAGGGTTTGGCTTTCTTGACCATTTTATTGATCTAGCATCCCCTTTCTCTTCACAGGTAAGTGATTATTTGCAAGGTAGCTGGGCGGGAAAAGAAGAGAAAGTGGGTCCTGGTTTTAACAGGACTTAGAGACACCCCTTCCTCCTCTACTGGCTTCTTAACTGAGCCTGTAGAAGAGATTCGAGTAAGGCCTCATCCCAGGACTGGTCTAGTGAGGCTTACTTCCTATAGGGAGTAAGTAAAGTGTTGGCTTACTATATTTAAGCACTCCCAGTTTCTCTCTCCACTCTTCAAGAAGGACATTGTTGGTACCCCAGGAAACATAGGAAACAAGGAAAACCAATGGCAAGAGAATTTCCTTTCTTTAGGATTTATTGCAAATATTAATTTATGGGCTAGCTTTTCCTAGGCTGGCCAACTAGGCTAACTCAACAAATAATCCTTGAACACAAGTTATGTGCAAGATGTTGTAAGGTTTCTGGTCATGTTGTGTGACAGTGGCAAAAGCTTCTACTCACACCTTTGTCCCAGTCACATTGCCCACTGGCAGAGGGGAGCCTCTACCCAGCCACCGACCTCAAAGGTGGGTTCCAGAATCCATACCTCTTTCCGGTTTGCCTCCTAAGCAGCACAAGAGCCTACTTGCCTTTTCTCAATAGAGTTTCTGGGATCGTTCCTCCTATGAGGTAGCTCACATTAGCTTCTGAAGATGAGCTGAGGAGGCGTAGTACCCCATGCCAAACACATATATGGTATTTGTAACTCAAGAGAAACCTACAGGGACCAACCATATCTGTAACTGGAAGGAAGGATACACATACATCCACCTCTTAGGGCAAATGGGAACTTAAGAGAAAGGATAAATAGGAATTTGACTGAATTGTTTCACAAGAACATTTTAGTCCAACTTTGGGTTAAGAGGGTATGTCACTGTGAACCAGAAGAAGGCTTGGCCATATTCTGTGGAGTTCTTTTAAATTAGCTTCCCTCTTTTAAAGATATTTTAATTTATTTATTTTTAGAGAGGGAAAGGGAGGGAGAGAAACATCAATGTGTGGTTGACTCTCGTGCTCCCCCCACCGGGGGGACCTGGCCCACAACCCAGGCATGTGCCCTAGACTGGGAATCGAACCCACAACCCTTTGGTTCACAGGCTGGCGCTCAATCCACTAAGCCACACCAGCCAGAGCAGCTTCCCTCTTTTAAAGTAACTCCATAACTAAGAGTGACTAGAGTTAGCTGTAGTTTCATGAGAGTCACAAATGGAGAATTTTAAGAGAAGTTTCATTAGCTTCTTTCATAATGAACATTAGCTCAAGGGCCTGCAGCCCCAGTACCTTGGAGGAGTCACCTGCCTTTGTAATAGAGGTTTAATTTATTACAACTAGAAGTATTTCAAGTACCTTAGGTCAAGGTAGTTTAGGCCAAAATTCTCTGTACAGGTATTGTGATGGCCCCTAGAAGAGGCAGAAAACACCTTTGGGCAGTAGGGCAAAGCTGAGCTTAACTTTTCTTTCTCCACTATTTCAGGCCTCCTCCGCACCTGTTTTGGGGACTACCATGTGGCCTTCTACTTTGCTGGTGTGCCCCCAATAATTGGAGCTGTAATCCTCTTCTTTGTCCCTCTGATGCATCAAAGGATGTTCAAGAAAGAGCAAAGGGATTCCAGCAAGGACAAGATGTTGGCCCCTGACCCAGAACCCAGTGGGGAGCTACTGCCAGGCTCCCCCGCCCCTGAGGAACCAATCTAATGCCTCTTCCTTGTCATTGTGTGCTCCTCTCCAAACCCTACCCTTCACCCCACCCTGCTCAGCATTTACATTTTTGCCACCAGCACACTTGTTCCCAAACCTATGCACACAGCATTTCAGCCACCTGACCATCCCTTTGGAGCCAAAGCTCCAGGTGTTCCAAACTTAGTAACCAAATTTTCTTTGTGAATGCCTTCAAACTTGCCAGGGTCTTTCTCCCAGGATCTAGAAAAGCTTTGGATCAACCCCTGGCCTTTGGAACCTCTCCCTATACTTTCTAACCCCTCGGGGAGGAGGGGCATGGGGCCTCTTGGCTCCAGCTTGTTAGCCACCCAATAGAAGCAACTGTCAAAGGTGCTACCGTGTCCTCAGGAGCCTGGTGGGAAGATCCAAGCCTCTGTGTGCTGAGAAACTCCTTGCCATCTTACCTTAGGAGCCACTGATGGAGGGAGGAGGAGGGCAGAGAGATAAAATGAAACAAGGAGCCTTGTTTAACCTTAGAATTTCTGAGGGACATGGCTTCCCAAGAACTGTGGGTGCTGTTAGTTTACAAGTGTATAGATAGTCTCCCCATTATCTGGTTGGTTAACAGTCTGCCTCCTTCTTCCCTTCCTCCTTTTTTCCCCTCTGTTTCCTCCTCATTTCTCTTCCCTTTCTGTTTCTTTTTATGACTGTCATAGACACATGGGTGCTTAAATAAAGGAGGGACCCAGAGCTCGGGCCAATCAGCCTTACCTTGGCCCAGCCCACCCTTAATAGTAGCATCAGTCCCACTCATCTCAGGCTGAGCCATACCTCACCTTTTGGCTCAAGCTGCTATAATCATAGACTGGAAGAGTAGAATATCACATAGGGAAGGGGCCTTAAACAGCACTCACTACTTTTTACAGATTTCCCAGATCAATGCATTAATCTGCACGCCCATAACCCCATTCTTGTATCCATCTGTCAAAATGTGAAGAAATCCCTTTCATCTCAGTAGGCAGAGAAGGTCTGATGACAGGGAGATGGCATGGTATGGGGAAGGGGCAATAGTTATTGACCTGGTGAAGTCAATATTTCCACCTGGGCTAGGCCAGGAAAGAGACTGTTGTAGGGAAAATTCAATTTCCAACTTGGATCCCCAAAAGTATAGGCAGCAGCTACACAAAGCTTTGGGCAGTTTCTTTTAAGAAGTAAACTTAAGGTTACTTCTTGGTAAAAAAGTTGGTAAAGGTTAGTAAAACTTTGCTAACCTTTACCAACCAATGTGCATCCTGGGTCACTCTGGCTGGCTGGCATTAAACATGCCAGGAAATGTAGACTCTGGACCACTTGCACCTTCTAAAATAGCTGCCAGATGATTCCCTATACCCACACTCTAAGCAACAGTCTTGCTGTGTTCAGCTAGCACAGCTCACCTCATTAGGAGCTCAACCACTCTCCTCACTCAGCCTCTTTGTGTCTCTTTCTCCCTATTATGTGCCTTGGTCTGTTGTGTTCCTATTACTCAAACTTTTCCTCATCTTCTTTGCCAGGCATCCTTGGCTGTCACTTAGAGCTAATAGTAATTTGCCACCCCAAGCCAGGGCCAGGAGGATGAGGTTGCCACGTAGGGGCTCCAAAGAAGACTGGTCCCTATCCACAAGTTTTTCCATTACAGATAGGCAGCTGGGGCATTGTTGGCCTCTGATGGTCAAACCATGGCCAAAGTCCTGATCCCCCTCCATTGGTCCCAGTTTGGCCCTTATCAAATCATCAAAGGAAAAGACACTGATTCTTGGCTTTGTGGGTAGGAAGGGGCCTAATTACTATCCTAACAGCTCAAACAACAGTGGAACAGGGGAAGCTGGGCCTCAGGAGAGACCATTGAAAATGTTTCAGCACCAAAACCCCTGCTTCCATTTCTCCTGCCCCACACCCACCAACTTAATAGAGGGCAGTTCTGCAGGGCCTCCTTTGTTGCACATGGTTTGAATAGCTCTGAAGAATCAGGCTACCACCCACTTCTCTCCAGATGAAGGAAAGTCATTCACAGGTCCCAAATCTGCTCTATCAGGTGTCACATAACAGGGTGTCACTTCTACACACGTGCATATGCATGTGTGGGCTTGTGTGCTTTTGGAGAGAATATTGGTTGGCAAAAGCAGCACAGTATTAATGTTTAGGGTAGGATGCAGCCTCTTATGAATCCATAGCCAAATCTAGCAGAATGAATAAAATTTGGGAGCTTGAGACCTGGTACATTAATTAAATCCTCAAAAGGTTTGGAACAAAATAAACACCTAAAAATCTAGCTTTGGTATGTAACTTGCCTACAAGGGTAAAATAGTTTTAACCTGGTTAACAGCAGGAAGTTTGGTCTCAGAACTGAAATCTCATTTCAAGTCACACTTCTGCCAGGGCCTAAACTCTCTATGAGAGCATAAACTTTAAAATGATCTACATAGGGGATTGGAGTTGGGCAGGCTGTTCAGGATTGGGTTTTTAAGGGAGCTCTGAAGTGGAAAAGTAGTCACTTTACAAAATGGGAACATCACTGGTTAGTGGCTGAGTGGGCATGCAAGCCCCGCCAAGGCCACCACCTTGTAACAAACATTCCATGTTGAAAATTAGCAAAGACCTTGCAATAATGCAGCTCAAGACCTTTTCCTATCCCTTGTTACTAATGGGGTACCTGAAAGGAATGGTATACCTGGCTTACACAGCTAGGCAACAATGGAAGACATTGACAGTGATGCAGAAGAGGCCTACAGCAAGACTGGGAGTAGCCTTCGAGTCTCCCAGGTCTATACTGTGCATTAGATTGAAGTGGGAAAACTGAGGCCTAGAGATAGGAAAGGACTATAGCAGGTTCACGCAGTTCATCAGTGACAGAGCAGGTTGATTTGAACTAAGGTAATTGACTTCCACTCCAGATTAAACCCTTCATTTTACAGATGAGAAAAATTGACCCAAGGAGGTGAAACTGAGTTGCCCACTTCATTCAACAACTATGTAATGAGACCATATCCATAAGAATTTCAGGAAGAACAGGTCTGAGTAAAAATAAAATCTAATCCAAGTCTGACTTTCAGCTTATCCCATCTTTTCATGATTACTCTAACTCCCAACTGACACATACTTTTAATATTCTCTCTTCCTAAGCACTCCAGAACTTCTTCATGCAGCCTTGGCCTTGGAGAGCTGGTCCCACCTACTGCCCTTTCACCCCCAGAAACCAAGAGGGATAAATAATGTCCAGCTCCCTATGACCACATACCGGGCAAAGGAGAGGCAAAGAGAGGCGACTAGTTTCTTCAAGAGAGGCTGGTTTACCACCCAGCTGTTGGTTATTGTTCGGTTCTTTCCTGACTCAGTGGAGACATCCTTATTATGCCTGCTTCCTCATCTCCCACTGAGACTAATTACTTCATCCTGCTGCCTGGCCGCAGGCTCTTGCAGCAAAGGTCTCTTGTCACTCATCCCCTCCCCCAGTGGCCCTAGGACTCCAGACTGTGTTTGATCACTCAGGATCATTAGATTTCAGAGCTATGGAATCTCATAATTTTTATGAGCATATGTTTTCCTCCAGGGCCTTTTCATGTCTGACAGCAGCTCCCTGCCACTTCACTGAAGCGGAGCAGGCCAGCTGACAGGGGTTACAGGTCCCCACAACAAATCCCTGATGTCTGACAGCCGGTACCTAGATAGAGTAGGTGCTAGTTTGAACCAGAGCCAGAGGTAAGTTTTCAAATTCTAATAAACTCAAATCTGGAGGCACACGGAAAAGAATTTGATGCCCAACTCCTGCAGGGGCTGAGGCTTTGCTTTAGATGTTTTGATTCCTGTCTTTCAGCTCTCTCTAGTGGTCACCAAAGGCAGAGCTGCATGCCTGCTTTTAAAGTCACTTCAGCATATTTCTGAAGACCTAGTTTGTGACAGTCGCTCAAGTAGAACCCATGGATTTCAGGAATATCATTAGAGAAAACAAAGAGAACAAACAACGAGGAATTTGTACTATCTTCTTACCAAGACACTTTTTCCTCTTGTGGACCCCAGCGGCTCTGAGCATACCGACCTCAGCACCTTTGGAGCAGGAAAAGACGAGCGCGCCTCTTCCGGGACCGAGGCCACAGCATTTCCCCTCTTCACCGCCCCTTAACTGGCCTCCGCGGGGCCAGAGACACGCCGAATAACTAGGCTCTCCTCAGCGTTGGTTATTTGCAGAGCCGGAGCCGGATAAAATTAGCTCATTGCGCAAATCTATCAAGTGTCGAGGCCATATCCAGCTGGGGGAGGGAAGGGCATAACTGAGCCCTGCCCCCGCTCCCGCCCCGGCCAGTCAGAGACCTGAACTGTCAACACCTGTCCGGAACCCCGACCCAGGGCCTCCGCGGTCCCCGGCCCCTACCATAGGGACAGGGGCTAGAGACGCGCGGGTAGTGACTGCAGCTCTTTGCACCGCACATCCACCCTACACTGCCCTCGCAATTATTGGGCCTTGGGATACAGGGATAGGGGTGCTAACGGATACCATTTTCCACCAGGTCTCCACGCCCACTCCACACTCGGGGAATGCCTTAAGATAGAGAGGGGCCTGGGGGATGGCGAGGGGAGGGCGGGCCGAACACAGCCTTGACTGCTGCTCCTGGTCCTGCTGCTGGCCTCGGGTCAACTTGGGCGGGAAGGGGGTCGGGTCCCGCCCCTCCGTGGCCCTCCATCTATTTCCGCGTCTGGGAGGGGCAAAAATCCGGGAGACTCGCCGTGGCGATACATCTGCCCCTGCTACTCAAACGGGAATCAGGTCCGCCCAAGATAGCCACCTTTCCCGCCCAGGGGAAGGGAGCGGGAAGGAAGGTGGGAGGGCCCAGTCCCAGGCGCACCCAACTGTCTATGGAGCCAGATGGATAGACAGCAGCTGCCCTGTGTGCTGGGCTCAGCTGCTCCTTGATCGCCCGCCCCCACGGTCCTGCCCGCGTCACTGCCACCAGGGACTGCAGCGCCGCTGCGCGCTTGGTCCAGAGCCCTCAAGGGAATCCGGGCTGGGCCAGTGGGAAACTGGCAGCACCCGCCCCCTCAACCGGATTTGGCCTCAAGGGCGATGTCCAGCAGCAGCCAGTGGAGGTCCTAAGTGATTCCAGGCAGGAGTCCAGCGGGATGAGGGGACTGGCGGCATGAACAACCCGTGGGAAACGCTCCAGTCAGTGTAGCCATTGTCTTTCTTCCTCATTTCCAGCCTCCAACCCTAGGCTGGGCCTGCGGGGCCGCCTCCTCCACGCAGCTGAGCAGAATGGAGTTATTTCTGCCGGAGCTTTGGCCCACGCATTAATCTTCTCCCTCCCCAGCCACCATAAAAGCAGTCCCAGAACTCCCAGGGGCAACCATGCTGGTGGGAGCTCCCAGCTCAGGCCCACTCCCACACCACACCCCCCCAGATCTCACCCAGTGAAAAGGTGAACCCCTCCCACCGGCTGCCCTACAGTCACACTGGTGAACTAGAGGGAGTTCCTACCAGGAATGGTGAGAAGGACCAGATTGACTCTAAAATCGGTGCTCCTCAATTTGCTCCCCACCTGACACTCCTCCAGTTTACTCCACCAACCTGCTTTCTTCAGCCAGTTGTCTAAGTGAGGTGAAGGAGGAGACCAAGGTAGTCATGTCCACTCCCTCCCCCGGCACACACACACATACACCCTCCCTCCCTGAGGTGGAGCCTTCTGTTGGAGGGCAGCCTTGGAGATCCTTAGGCCTTAAAGCCTTGCAAAGTCTAGTTTCTTCATGTCAGCCTGAGACCTCCCAGCTACCTGCCTCCTCATCGGCTTCCTCTTCACCCCCATACACAGGCACAGATACACAGACACACTCTCTTCATCCTTCAGCTCCATGAACACAAGGGCCTACTGCCCACCCCCAGCATATCTGGACACAGAGGTCTCCTTCAATGATAACAGGGCATTCTCACCTTTGGGTGGGCAATTTACAGTTCATAGGAGCTCCCATATCCCTCATCACACTTGATTGACACTCTCCCTAGCCCTGGGAGGTGCTGCTCTTATGCCTGTTTTAGAGACTGGGAAAGTGAAGCTTGGAGGAAAAACTGAATGCCAGGTTTCAGACCTCTTCTCCAAGGCTCTTTCCAATCTACCTCACAGAAAATAGGGAAGTGAATTTCTCTGTTTCCCTGATTTCTCAGGAAGCCTGCTTGCTAATCCTGGACTCAGCACCTCCTGCCCTCAGGTCCACTCTGCACCCAACCCCACAAGCAAAGCTCTGCATAGTGAGCAGCACCAGGGCCCCAAGATGGAGGCATGGAAAGCAGCAAAAGCAGAGCCAGAGTCCTTGTGCACCTCCCGCTCACCCACTTTAGCTTCTTCTATGGAAGGGGAGAGGAATATGGAAGAAGAATTAGGGGTCTTTGATCTGTCTTTCCCTGACAGTGTAGGACATTGTCTTTCGAGTTCCTCTCTGCCTCAAAATGAAGGTAAAACTCCAAAATGTCCTGTTTTGTGCCTTATTCCCCCAGTACTTCTCTCATTATTCAATTACATAATAATCAGTAAGGGCTAATTTCCAGTGCCTTTCTTGACACCCAGAGGCCCTCAAAAGGTCCTTCGTCCAGGCTGGTTATTGGGAGGAGGTGTGAGGAACAATTCTTGGGAGGGCCCGCTTTCACAGGAAAAGATTCATGTGCTAAGGGGTCAATACAACTAGCTCAGATGCTCCCTCTCTTCTAGACTTCCAGTGCTTTGCCAAGTTACAGAGAGGGGATGAGGAAAAGTAGCAAATACATGCAATTAAGCATAGGGGATCTACCCATGGCAGCACTTGGGGAAAGGAAAAGTGAAGAGCATGCCTAAACCTCTGCCCACACACCTCAGTGAGGTGGCCTTGTCCTCAATACGCCTCTCAGCAACTGTGGCTATTACCATCCTCATCTCCCCTGTCCCCAGTTGAGAGAGTCCCTCTATCTGCAGGGGAACATGGTTTCATCTAACATCCCCCACCCCTTGGTATCACATTGTTTGGTGGGCTCTAAATTTCCAGGTCCCAATAAGTACTTTCCTTTCCTTTAGTAGAATAGCTTCAAGAATCCAAGCCAGGTCTTCCAATGCTTGAGCATTGGGTCTGGAGTGCAGGAAGAACAAAGTTTCAGGGAAAGTCAAGTTCTAGTCAAAGGTAGTTTCTATTCAGAAACTCTGTAAAGAGTTGTAACTAGTGATTTCCAGGAGAACTTTAAACATTATATTGACAGATCACAGGGTCTACTAACAAACTTACCTTAATTCCCTTTTTCTAGCCAAGTGAGTTCTTTCTTCACAATACTTTGTCAACATAGTTAAGGGCTGTCCTACCAGGATGAAATCAAAGAGCCAAGGACGGCCAGGGTTGAAATGGTGGGGAGCTTCACATCCAGTAGTTTTCACACTGCATACTGTGACTGGGGGAGTCACAGGGGAACTTCAAAGTCCACTAAAATTTCTGGGACTGATTTTTCCCTATTACTCTCATGAGGAACAACAAATGTAAGAATACTCTAAACGGTTGAGATAAGAAGGCACACTAGCTGGAGACCGCA